TTCACAGAAAATCTAGGTCCCCGCCCGCCAAGCGTCTGCTCGGAGCTGCTGGCCTGGAGAGCACCCGGGCGAGCACACGGCTCCGGGGAGGAGGAGCGCTGCCGGCAGCGCCTTCCGGCTGTGCGGGTCTGGGATTTGTCATCTGACCTATCTGTACAGTAGAGATTTTTATTTTAGAGCAAAAAGAGTAACTCATTAAACTGCCTGGGTGAAGCGGGACTGAGCAATTTGGGTAGGTCTCGCCTTCTAGCGCGAGGCAGGACATTTCACATCTGTGTGCTAAAGGCAAGTCTGCAGCGACCGAGAGGGCAGCCCTCCCACAAATCCAGTGTGACAGTCAAATTCCAGCCCAGCGTAATTATATTCTTCCCTCCTACGATTTTCTCTGCTAATAGCTGGATAATAGCTTTGTTTTTAAAGTCTTCTGACCCAGACTGCGCTATCGCTCCTGCCGAGAGCCCCTTCTGGGGCAGTTTATCTCGGAGCACCGCGGACGCGGCGATGCGATTTTCCTTCAGAGCCAGCGCTGTACTGGTTTCCTCTTTTCTGGGCTCCTCCAGAACCCATCCGGGGCGCAGGAGGGGATGCACCTCTAAAAGCGGTTCTGACTAGGTCTGCTCGACTCGTCAGCCATTTCAGCCCCCAGCGAGGAGACTCCTTGCCCCTTCAGCAGCGATGATGTCTGTAATTCTCGCTCACCCATGGGCCGCTGTTACAGCCCGCGCTCAGGAGCAGACCCTCTGTGCCGTCAGCGCAGCCCCCGGTCTGAGCGCACCCAGCACGGCAGCGCCTTGCCAGGGCTGCACGGCCAGCCCCCTGCCCAGCCCTTCAGAGCGGAGGGAAGGAACGAGAAGCTGGTTTTCCTCTCCCAAGCCTTCGGCACGCAGGACTCCAGCTGCGAGCCGGCCGGGCACGGCCCCTGCATGCTCCTGGCGGGACAGCAAGGCTCTGGGTCGGGGTTTACCTGTCGTACACCACGTCCTTGCAGTTAACGACAACCGTGATCCCCGACACCGTCGCCATCGTGGCCTGGACTGTTGACACCAACCTGGAAGGGAGAAGGAGGACGCGGGTCACCCCGGCAGGGCCGAGGCGCGGTGGCGGCGGCGGTCGCACCTGGGAGAGCCGTCAGCGCTTCGACGC